GAGTGATCTGGCCCCCAGGTGGGGAAAGAGGAGAAGCAGGGCAGGGTTGGGGACCCCCTGCGTATAGGAAAGTTGTTGCTATTGACCCTGGCACTCTTTCTCTTTCCTCCACCAGGATCTCCTGAAAGCCGCCTGTCCTTCCAGCATGACCCTGAGACCTCTGTGTTGATCCTGCGCAAGCCTGGCGTCAGTGTGGTATCCGACTGGAGTATTCACCTGCGATAACCCAAGGGATGTTGGGGTGGGGTGTGATGGTCTTGATAGTTACTCTTCCTTCTGCCCTGGAGTTTGACCTTCCCCAGACTTCACCTTTCTTATCTCAAGATCTACATTCTGCCAACATCTGGGCAGGATGAGAGGGCTTTCCCTGGGCTCTGAATTCATTTTGTGACCTCCTGACCTCTCCCACCCCACTGACACCACATCTCCCTTCATCCCCAAATATTCTGTTGCTCTGACTGGAGCACATTCACCTGTGAAGACCTGGGGACCACAGGGCCCTTGCTTTCCCTTCTCTTTTCTTTCTTTTGGGGGCCCTGAATCTCCTCCATACCCTCTCCATTCATGTCTCTTGTGTGTTGATGCCATTTCTTGGAAGAAGATGAGGGCAGTGAGCTTTAGGGCTCCTTTTCTCCTTCCCCTTCCCTCCCCACCAAACTGTTCTCCCTCCTTTTATTTCTTCCTCCTGGCTCTTCTCTATCAGGCCTCTCCGTTTTATGCCCCATTGATGCACAGGGTCCACCCCTTACCCTGATAAGGGATGAATGGATCAAAGGAGTGAGGTTGCTGGAAAACATCCTCTTCCCTGGCATCCCAGCCTTTCCTCTCCCTGCTTCTATCTAGAGCAGCTGCGGTCCTGACAGGGGCAGTTCTACCTCCCCTGTCCCTTGGGGGAAAGAAGTTTCCACTCCTTAAGAGGGGATGAGTGAGACTTCTTTTGCCTCCTAAAATTTTGTCCCCTTGAGGGGCATTCCAGATGGAGAAATCAGTTGTGGTTTCATCGAATCACGGTCACCTGTATTTATTGCTGGGGGAAGGCTGAGGGTGGGGGAGATGATCATGTGCGCTCAGGGTTGGCCCAGGGCCCTGGGTGGGGGTCGGGGAGGACTAACTGGGGACGATGGGGAATGTTTGTGGGAATTTTTTTTACTTCCTTTTGGCCCCCAGCTGTGACAGGTTTTGATAAAAGGAGAAACAATAAAGAGAGAAACCATAAATAACTGTTGGCGTCTGGATTCCAGTTCTGGCCTGAACCACAGACCCCTAAAAGCCCGAGGACCTGACATTTTCATTTAGCTTCAGCATAAGCCTCATTGGTTGAGCAAAATGAGTGAGTGCAAGCCTCCTTCAGCTTGCTTGATGCCAATTTTTTTTTAAATTTATTTTTGGCTGCATTGGGTCCTCGTTGCTGCACGCGGGCTTTCTCTAGTTGCAGCGAGTGGGGGCTACTCTTCGTTGCGGTGCGTGGGCTTCTCATTGTGGTGGCTTCTCTTTGTTGCGGAGCATGGGCTCTAGGCGCGTGGACTTCAGTAGTTGTGGTACGTGGGCTCTGTAGTTGTGGCTCGCAGGCTCTAGAGCGCTGGCTCAGTAGTTGCGCACGGGCTTAGTTGCTCCGTGGCACGTGGGATCTTCCTGCACCAGGGCTGGAACCCATGTCCCCTGCATTGGCAGGTGGATTCTTTTTTGTGTGTGTGTGGTACACGGGCCTGTCACTGTTGTGGCCTCTCCCGTTGTGGAGCACAGGCTCCAGACGCGCAGGCTCGGCGGCCATGGCTCACGGGCCCAGCCACTCCGCGGCACGTGAGATCTTCCTGGACCGGGGCACGAACCCGTGTCCCCTGCATCGGCAGGCGGACTCTCAACCACTGCACCACCAGGGAAGCCACTGGCAGGCGGATTCTTAACCACTGCGTCACAGGGAAGCCCCTGATGCCAGTATTTTCATAGAGGAGCCCAGCAAGGTCATCAGATTTTAGTAGGCCTAGTTAATAGTGGTGACCAGAGCTAATGGGGTCCCTCTTGAATAGAAATAGCTATATGTCAGATGTTCTCATACTAAAGACTGCTTCTCTTTAGCTAGCAGCATTTTTTAAAGTTTCCCATTGTTTTAGTGACAGGAAATAGCTTCCTCCATTTTGCAGACTGACCACAAGTGTTAGAGATTATTTTAACAAGAAACTAGGTTGGTTTGTTTGGAAAAATTACTGCTCAGGATGGTTTATGCCTGTGAGGAGTTAGGGGATGTGTTTCTGGAATTCCTCAGCTCAAGAAATATTTCCAGGGGCTTCCTGGGTGGTGCAGTGATTAAGAATCCGCCTGCCAATGCAGGGGATATGGGTTCGAGCCCTGGTCCGGGAAGATCCCACATGCCGCGGAGCAACTAAGCCCGTGAGCCACAACTACTGAGCCTGCACTCTAGAGCCTTTGAGCCACAACTGCTCAGCCCACATGCCACAACTACTGAAGCCCGCGTGCCTAGAGCCCATGCTCCACAATGAGAGAAGCCACTGCAATGAGAAGCCCACGCGCCGCAATGAAGAGTAGCCCCCGCTGGCCGCAAGTAGAGAAAGCCTACGAGCAGCAACGAAGACCCAGTGCAGCCAAAAGTAAACAAATAAATAAATTTATTTTAAAAAGAGAAATTTCCAGTTAATTCCCTGGGAGATAGCTCATTGCCTTGACATTTTTACCCCCACCCCTTCTGTCACCTGTTTCAGTGTGGGTCAGAGGAGACAGTACAGCTCCTGGAGTCAGGTATCTAGAAGGGACATAGAAAATTGTACGATGGGAATTACATGATTTGGCACAATTTTAGTTACTTATCTGTAAAATGGGGACAATACCTATCTCTCACACAAAAGTGGACCAAGATACTGTGACAACCCTGAAGAAGAGCAGTTTGCTCCTGAACTGCTGCCAGATGTGCTGGAAAAACACTATGGATATAAACTCCATCCCAGAAAGGGACCTGATTCCAAGTCATACTAGAAATTCAAAAAAAAAAAAAAATTCCAAGAAATATTAGAATATGAGAGGTTGATTAATTAATGAAATATCAAAAATACCCCTTTACTATTTTTTGGTTTAATTTATTAGATTACTATGTATTTTTTGCATTTTTGCCAAGAGTATCTTGTTAAATATCAAAATTCTGCAACATCAATTTTTAGAGTCATAATATCCTAAATTGTATTAAAATTATAATCAGAGGATCATAGTGAGGATTGTATGAGACACCCAGGGCACAGGCTTGGCACATGATAGGCCCTAGATTTCACTCATTCATGTAACAAGTATGTATTGAGGTACTGTTAACTACCTGCAGTGACTGATGGATGAATGAATGACTATAAGGAGAAAATCTGCGCAGAGGGACTAGAGATCAAGGGGAGGGTCCCAAAGCCACTCCCAAGTACCCTACCTGGCTTTTGACCGCCGGCCGCGCGCGCTTGATACGCCGGATATGACGTCACCCACTACCGTGGTTCCCAGAACTAGGCGGTGGGAGCGGAAATTAACCCGGAGGGAGGGAGTGTGCAGACTGACCGGAAGTGGGCCGCGACGTTTACTGCCAGCTCCAGCTCCTGGGAGCAGGTCGAGAGGAGGGTGAGGAGGGCGGGTCAAGGGGCGGGGCCGCTTCAGGGGCGGGGCTTGCAGGCTGGCGGGCTGGGGGCGGGGAACTTCGTGCCTGCAGGACCCCGCCTGCCCAGGCGCCGGCGGTGGCGCGGCCATGAAGCTGAAGCTGAAGAACGTGTTCCTCGCCTACTTCCTGGTGTCGATCGCCGGCCTCCTCTACGCGCTGGTGCAGCTCGGTGAGCGGGGCGGGGCGGGGGCGCGGCGGGTCGGCCCTCGGGCACCCGTCGCCGAGCGTCCCGCCCTGGGGATGAACCCCCGCGCAGACCCCATTCATCCGGCTCGGCCCTTCTACAGCCCTCTGCGGCCGCCGGGCGCACTCCCCTCTCTAGAACGCACCGCGGCTGCCCGCCGCACCTCGGGTGAAATCAGACTCCTTCCCAGAGCCTGCAAGGCCCCGCATGATCCTGCCTTGGTCTGCCTCTCTAACCCCATTTCCTAACCCTCTCGCTCGCTCTGCTCCGGCCACACTGGCTTCATGACAGTTTCTTGAAAACCCCACACTCATTGCTTCCAAGCACTTAACCTGTCCCCGCTGCCTGTGGTGCTCTTCTCCCGGCTCTTTCCCAGCTCCCTCTCTCATCCTTCAGGTTTCAGCTCACATGTCACCGCCTCACAGGCCTTCCTTGACCACCTTAGCTAAAGTACCTCTTCTCAATCTGGATTCTCTTTAAGTCTCTATCCTATTTGTTTCCTTCATGGCCCTTACCACGGTTTCTAATAATTTTATTAATTTGTTTCTTTGCTTAGTGTCCAGCTCCTCCACTAAACTGAAACCTCCATGAGGGCAGGGACCATGTCTGTTTGGTTTCCTAAGCTGCATCCCGGGCACCTAAGGCAGTGCCTCCCAGGAGGAGCATTCAATAAATACTTATCCAATGATGGAATCAATGAATTTAATGAGTCTTTGGTCACACAGCCAGTGGAACAGATTGAACCCTGCCTCTTATGCAGGGATTTAGAGACTGGGCCACTGCATGATCCTCAGGTATTTGAAAGACTGTCCTGTTTTAGGAGATCAACTTGTTCTTTATGGTTCCAGAAGGCAGAACTAGGACCAGCAGGTAGAAAGGATGGAGGCAGGTAATCAGCTCAATAGCCAGATGAAAACTGTAATGGATGGAATTGGTAAAGTCGGAGAGGGGCTGCTAATTGAGGCAGTGAGCTCCCCACCACCCAAGGCATAGAAAAGCTGTTAGAGAAGTTGTAAAGAGAGCCCTGCACTGGCTAGTTGAACAGAAGGTTATGGCCCTTTGGGATGCTGAACATACTGTGGTTCTCTGCCCCCATCCCTGCTTCCTGGGACCAGGCCAGCCATGTGACTGCCTCTCTCCCCTGCGGGCAGCAGCAGAGCAGCTTCGGCAGAAGGATCTGAGGATTTCCCAGCTGCAAGCCGATCTCCGTCGTCCACCCCCTGCCCCCGCCCAGCCCCCTGAACCTGAGGCTCTGCCTACTATCTATGTTGTTACCCCCACCTATGCCAGGTATGGGCTGTGATGCACCCAACATCTGCATGGACCAAGAGGCTGGGCTCGATGATGAGTTTCGGGAGGCGCTGGGCCAGGGGATGTTCCTCAAGCTAAGGCATGCCAGATGACAGGCTAAATGAACCACATCATCACTCAAAGATTTGTGGGAAAATGCTTTTCTATTAAAATAGACAGGGATGTGCCGTGAAGTAGAATACAATATTCCTGAGAAGCTTTAAGATAGAACAATAAAGTTGCAAAGAAATTCTGAACTTGCCAGCGAGTTCACGCTCTCTCCTTAGGGAGCCTTTGGTGAGAAGGTTTGGGAAGCCCTTGACTACATGGAAGCAGAAAAGGACTTGGCCCTGCAGTCACACGGGGGTCTAGAAATAGTTACACCAGCTATTATTTGCCATGTGTTTACTCTCTGCCCCGCGCTGTGCTAAGTGTACCCCTTTTGTTTTTTTTTTTAATAAAACGTAGCGTTATTGGTGACATAAACCAACTGGGAAATGTGGTTTTGAATCTGTAGCCAAAAGGGCTTGCTGACATCTGCCTGGAATCAGATGGCTGACCCACCTACGCCAGGGCATCTCTAGACCCTCTCCACCTCCCTACACACACCATCAAGCCTGGGGCGGGCAGGCCCATCTGAAGGGTAAAGAAGCCTGCAAGAGACTGCGCCCCTACCTTCCCAGTTTCTTGTCTAAACTCGGATAAATCTTCGTCCCCTGAAGAGGAATGAGCCAAAGGGCTCCTCTAAACTCTCCTACCTGGAAATCCAAGCATAGGCGGCAAAGAACATGGTCCTACTGGTATTCTAAAAAGTCATGATCTTATTTAATCTTTAAAACAACATTGTTGTAAAGTACTGTTATTTTAAAGTTATTTAAAGGAAACTGAGCCTTGGGGAGATGGAGCCATTTCCCCAGATATCTCACCTAATAAGTTACAAAACTGGCGTTCAAACCCAGATCTGATTTCAAAGACTGTGCCCTTAATTTATAGTCAGAGCCCTGGGGTTGAGGTGAGTGACAGACATGGACATTAAGAACAGGGCAGGTGAATCAATGCCCTGGCGGTCCAGTGGTTAGGACTCAGCGCTTCCACTGCAGTGGGCATGGGTTCCATCCCTGGTCAGGGAACTAAGATCCTGCAAGCTGAGTGGCTGGGTCAAAAAACAAAACAAGACAAAGAAAATAACAGGGCATTTGGGTGCTGGTCGGGGAAAGGTCACGGGGGGTGGGGGTGGGGGAGTGGGGGGTGGGCGGTGCTAGGAGTGGCCCAGGAGAAGCCATATGTACCCTCTGGAGTGGGCAAATTGTGCCTACCCCTTTCCCTCCTGCATCTTTCCCCCTGCAGGCTGGTGCAGAAGGCGGAGCTGGTGCGGCTGTCCCAGACCCTAAGCCTGGTGCCCCGGCTGCACTGGCTGCTGGTAGAGGATGCTGAGGGCCCCACCCCGTTGGTCTCGGGGCTGCTGGCTGCCTCTGGCCTCCTCTTCACACACCTGGCGGTCCTCACCCCCAAGGCCCAGCGACTCCGGGAGGGCGAGCCAGGCTGGGTTCGGCCCCGAGGTGTTGAGCAACGGAACAGGGCCCTGGACTGGCTCCGGAGCAGAGGGGGTGCTGTGGCGGGAGAGAAGGATCCACCCCCACCAGGCACCCGGGGAGTCGTGTACTTTGCTGATGACGACAACACCTACAGCCGGGAACTCTTTGAGGAGGTGAGCACTGAGATGGGGCTGGGGAAACAGGCCAGGTGGGGCCCGCTTCATCTTTTTCCCTAGGTGAGGAGTGGGGAGCGGTGGGGCAGAGTGACTCAAGTGGTCCTTCCCTCTGCTCCCATTCCTCTGGGCCACCTCCTGTCTGTTTCTTCTTTCCTGACTTCTGTTAGATGCGCTGGACCCGTGGAGTCTCAGTGTGGCCAGTGGGGCTGGTGGGCGGCCTGCGATTCGAGGGCCCTCGCGTACAGGACGGCCGGGTTGTGGGCTTCCACACGGCATGGGAGCCCAATAGGCCCTTCCCAGTGGATATGGCGGGATTTGCTGTCTCCCTGCCCCTGCTGTTGGCGAAACCCAATGCCCGGTTTGATGCTACTGCTCCTCGGGGCCACCTGGAGAGCAGCCTCCTGAGCCACCTTGTAGATCCCAAGGACCTGGAGCCGCGGGCTGCCAACTGCACTCGGGTAAGGGGATGGAGGTGGGCACAGAAATCTGACTGTGGGATGGACGGGTGATGGGAGAAGTGGAATGAGGCCCTGGGGAGTAGGATCAAGGATGGGTGTTTGAACCAGGAGAGACCCTCCAGGGCTCAGATTCAACCTTGCTTGCTCTCCTGAAGGGGAAGCTGGGAGGCAGGGAAGGAAAGTGGTCTTCCTGCCACTCTGTCTCCTGGCACCCGTGTGACACAGAGAGGGTAAGGGATTAAGCCCCATTTTAGAGGCACTAAAGCCTCCCCCCACCCACCCTTCATACTTGGCAGCCAACCCAGTGTGTGTCGAGGGGGTTGGAGAATCCATTCTACACTGCGTGCCCCAGCGGCTTGGCTGTGGCTGGGCCCAGCCCTAACTGAAAGCTCTCGGGACAGGTCCTGGTGTGGCATACGCGGACAGAGAAGCCCAAGACGAAGCAGGAGGAGCAGCTGCAGCGGCAGGGCCGAGGCTCAGACCCAGCTGTCGAGGTGTGATGGCGGCCCTCCACTGCCCACCACCTCATCAGACACAGATCTGTGGGACTGGATCCCTGGCCTGCCCAGGATGTGGTTTTCCAAGTCCTGAGCCCTCAGAGCCAGGGGCGGCCCTTCTGCCCCTTCAACCCCAGGGCGTGGCCCAGCTGCTTCTCCCCTCCCCCAGCTTGCCTTGTGGCACTGCCCACAGGCTAGGGACAAGCGGCCCTTGTGTTGAGCCAGATGGGCCCCGTCTGGGGCGGAGCAGAAAACAGAGAGTCTCCGGCGGGCGGGCGGCTGAGTGACTGGGTAACTTATTGGGGCTGGGCATGCACTGGGGGGCTGGAGGAGCTGGGCTGGGCCCTCCCCACCTGAGCATGCTGACCGCCCGCCCCCCCCGCCCCAACCTCCAGAATAAAAACTCTCAACCTGGAGGGGCTTCTGTTTTCCTTCACTTCCCATGTCAGGTTCTTGCATTTGATCCTTACCAGGTCAAAACCCTGGAGTTCTGGCTTCTCCATCAGACGGAAATCAGTTCTCTCAGGGCCCCCACCCCCTTGAAGAGAAAGATCAGTGGCTTCAGTCCAAAAGCTTTATTGAGTCTGTGCACCAGAAGCAGCCTCCAGCCCTTCCCATGTCACTTTCCCACCACCCTGGTTTTTTTTCTGTTCTTCCCTGGTGGTTCTGGCCATGGGCTAGGCCCTAGGACACCTGGTTTTCTCTCCTACCCCAGTCCAGCTCACTGACTATCCTTAACCCTCTAATCCCAGAGATCCCTCCTCCCCCACCTGGAGCCTATAAGGAGTTGTGAGGTTTCCAGTCTTGTCCATCTCTCCCCTTCTCCCCACCCCTCATCCCCACCCCAAGCTCCAGGCCACTAGGCCTCAGGTAGACCCTCCTTGGGAGGTTCCTCTTCTGGTGGGGCCTCCTCAGGTGCTGGCCTGCGGGCCACCCCTCCCTGTAGCCATGCTGTTTTCAGCATGTCTTTCAGCCCAGCAGGAAAGAGATAGCCCTGGGCCTCTCCCTCCCCATCGATGACTCCTCCGAGCCCCTCCAGTGCCGTTTGCAGGTACCGCAGGCCCAAGAGTACCAGGGTCTGTGGGGAAAGCAAGGGGCAAGAGGTCAATGAGGGTCACAGCAGTTCCAGGGGCCCCTGGGTTGGAGGCGGTGAGGAGGCCCAGAGGAGGCCTCAGACACTTTGCTGACTCACCTGCAGCAGGAAGGTAACAGCCAGCATGTTGCCCAGTGTGCTCGCCAGCCCCTGCAGGTGCCCCAGCAGCACCTCATGGCATCCTTGGGCCCAGAGGTTTAGGTTGGGCTGTCGGGGATCAAAGAGGGGGTGGGCGTGGGGGTCTGAGAGCTGGCTTTGCAGGCAAGGTCTGGGTGAGTGGGGGTTACAGCAGGAGAAAGGGACCCCATCAATCAGATATAGGCCTTCCACATTGCTCTGGATCCGGCTGCAAAGGGAGGGGCAGGGGTGTTAGGATGTCTGGAGATAGAGGCCTGGGGGAGAAGCTGCAGGGCACAGGAGTTGAGAAGGGAAAAGATGAGTGAGACATTTACTGACTGCTTTACTATGTGCCAGGCATGCATACATAATTCGTTTATCCTTACGACAACCCTGTAAGGTGGGACTTCTATCATCTCCAGTTTACAGACAAGCAAATGGGCCCAGAGCAGTTTGGTAACATGCCCTGGGTCACACAGCTAAAACATGGCAGAGCTGTGCTCCATTCTCTCAGTCACTAGACTCTACTCATTGCCTGTCTGGGTGAGGTGGGGTTTCAAGGAAGGAGGAAGAGGAGGAGAAGAAGGAAGAGGGAGGAGGAGAAGCAAATCACTCACTCAACCACGTCCTGGTCATTGGGATCCAGGTAACGGTTGCTGACCCACTGGATCCCAAACCAATCCTTGTACCCATGGCGCCCGCAGCAGTGGTGCCTCAGCTGCAGCTCATCCAACAGCCGTTTGGCTTGACAGCGTCCGGGAACCTCTGTGTCCTTGTAGTTAGCCAAGGCAGTCCCCAGGCCCTCCTCCAGTCCTGTGTCCAGAGTCCCAGGTAAAGCCAGGGCGAGCCCCAGGGCAAGAACCAGGAGCCCCCCGCCACCAGCTGTGCCAGCCACCAGCAGCGGGCCCAGGACCCCTCGCCAGGGAGGGTATTGAGCTGCATCCAGACTGGCCCTGCTGGCTCCTGAACCCACCAGTCCTGTGCCCAGAGCCACTGCACTGGCTGCCAAGGCAACCTGGGGCAGGGCAGCGACCGGGCAGGAGGGAGCCAAGAAGGTGCCAAGGTGCCACAGCTGGACCAGGAGGTGCCCGCTACAGAGGAAGGTGAGGCCACCGACCACCGCCAGCAGCCAGGAGAGGAGCCTGAGGCCCTGCGCCAGACGGATGCGGGGCTGGAGGGGCAGCACCAGGGGCAGCACCGGCGCCATCTCCCATCTCTGCCCAAGGGACAGCAGGGCTGTCAGGGACAGGGGTTGGCCGCGGCAGGATGCTGCGTCAGCCCAGCCTGGCTTGAGCTGGGCTAATGCCACCCTGACCCCAATACCCTGGGCATCCTCCCGCCACAGCCTTAATAACCCTCTGCCCTGTCCCCTGCCAGTCCCAATTCGGGATGCCTTGGCCTTGCCCCTTAGGAAAAGCCCCGCCCCCGGGCAAAAGGCCTATTTCGTGACCCCGCCCCTGTCCCTTCGCGGAAGTGGGGAGGGGCTGGTCGGTTCTGCCTCGACAGGCTAGGGGCTGGGGTCGGGAGACCTCACGGCCCGCGCTCCTTCCCAGGTCCCCAGGGAGTCCGAGGGCCAGGATCCCGGAAGGGCCCGGAGGGCGGTGGCCGGAGGGGGCCGGGGGTCAGCGGGTTGGCCCCGCCCCCGAAGCGAGCTGCGAGGCCCGGACAGGGAGGGGTTACCAGGCGGCCCGGCCCCCCCCCCCCCCGCCCCCCCCCCCCCCCCCCTCCCGCGCTTCCTGGCGGCTTCGCGTCCGGCGCCTGTTTGTGCTGCGGCGCTGGGGCCCAGGACGGCCCCGCCACCCCACCCCCGGGAGCCGAGAGCGGTCCCGGGAGAGTCCGAGGCCCCGGCGGGCCCCGGAGCCTGCGGCCCCCGCCCCACAGCGCCCCCTCCAGGCCCTTTCCCCGCGCCCGACAGCGCCCCCGGGGGGTGGCTCGGCTCCCTTGCGCGCGCGCCCCGGGGTGCTTCCCCTTCCCCTCTCTCTGGCCATGGCCCCCGCGGCTTAGACGCCTCCTCCTCCGCCGCCGCCGCTCGGAGCAAGCCGGGGGCCGGATGGACGGGGCCGGGGGGCCCGGTGAGTACGGGGCGGGGCGGGCGGCGTGCCCCTTCCCGGAGCGCCGGCCGGTCGGGCGCTGCCATTGCCCGACGGCTGTTCGGGACGTCCCCGCGTGCTCCTCGGCTCCGGGGGCTCTGAGCATCCTCCACTGTTCCTCAGGTCGCTCTCCCTAGTTACTTGGGTCCTCCAACTGTCATTTCGGACTTCCCCAACGTCATCCTACCTCCCGTGTTACTCTGGGCCCCTCGAAAATTTCCTTACCTCCTGTGTTACTCTGGGCCTCTTTTCCTGGGATTTTGGGTCTTTTTACTTCGGACCCCCACTGTTACCCTGGGACCTTCGCTATGACTCTTCTCTCCACTCATACCCTCTCCTGTCACTCTAGATGTCTTCTGCTTCTCTGAGTCCTCAGGATGACTGTACAGTTGTGTCCCCCCCACTTTTCTCCGGGTGCTCCCTCTGAGTTTCTCTGCCTTCTCTGGAGACCTGAGCTTGCTCTGGGCTGGGCCCTGTCGTCCCTCACCAGCACTGCGCTTCAGCCTGTGGTTCCCACGTTCCTCGCCAGTACTCCATATTTTCCCCCTGGGCACTCCATGGTACTCCCTGTCTTTGCGGAGGCTGGGACGGCAGCAGGAAGGGAGCTTTGCCAGGTTCCTCGCCTGCCCTGCCACAAGGAGGCCCTTGATCCTTTACCACCCGTCTCCTCCCCTCTGGGAGCGCATCCAAGCCTGGAGCTGCTCGAAGGGTGCAGGTCCTATTGGACAAATGCACAGCTGGGGGCAGAGAGAATCCCCTCAAGCCTTTCCCCAGGTGGTGGGTACATTCTGACTGCTTCTTGCCCCTTTCCCAGGTGAGGGCCCTGCTCAGGAGGCCCTGCAGTCCTTGAGCCGGCGGCTTCAGGTGCAGGAGAAGGAGATGGAGCTGGTAAAGGCAGCCTTGGCAGAGGCTCTTCGCTTGCTGCGGCTGCAGGCGCCTCCCACCTCCCTGCAGGACCCTGGCACACCAGGCCCTACAAGGGACAGGTATGCATGTTGTCAAACCTTCTTCCTCCCCCTTGCTGGGGCCTCCCCCAGGGGCATCGGGCTGATGCACTGGCTCCCCAGCAGCCCTGCAGCTCCCCCGGGACTGCCACCCGCACGCAGCCCCTCCTCGGTGAGCCGAGGCACCCAGACAGAGACAGAGGTGGAGACGGAGTCATCACCTGGCCCCCCTGGCCTGATCAACGGGCCCGCGGCCCCGCATGGGGGCGGTGAAGAGCCCGGTGGGACCCAGTCCGAAGGAGGGGGCAGCAGCAGCAGTGGCACTGGCTCACCCGGCCCCCCAGGGCTCCTCAGGCTGGTGCAGCCCCCACAGCGTACTGACACGTGAGTGTCCTGCGGCAGAGGCTGGGAGGGGAGGGAGGAGTGGGGAGCACAATCCGAGGGAATGACTTTCACCTGCTCACTGTGCTCCGTCCGACCAGGCCCCGGAGAAATTCTTCCTCCTCCTCGTCCCCCTCAGAGCGGCCTCGCCAGAAACTTTCCCGGAAGGCAGCTTCCTCGGCCAACCTGTTGTTGCGGTCAGGGAGCACAGAGAGGTGGGTGAGGCTCCCCTCCCCCGCGCCCGCCCCACCCCAGGCTCAGGTTCTTGACTTTTCACATCCCTCACCTCACTTCCCTGGGTGGGGTGGGGGGACCTCATTGCCCAACAGGAAGAAAGGAACAAGCACTTCTGGGGTGCCTGCTGTGTACCCGGCACTGTGCTAAACCCTCGACCTCCTCCATCTCATTCAGTCCCCATGACATCCTTGGGGGGTAGGTGGTCTCATGCTGATCATTGTCCAGGTGAAGAAGCAGGCTCAGAGAGGGTAAGTCATTTGTCTGGGGTCACACAGCTAGAGCCAGGATTCCGACCCAACTCTTCTTGACTCCAGTTCCCCTGCCGTTTCCACTATATCACAACATACCTTCCAAGATTCCAAGAGGGTTTTCCAAAAGCACCCATGATTTTCATGGTGACGGTCCTCAGAGTCTCAGCCTTCTCCCACACCTCAGCGTACCAAGCTTTACTTCTAGAGAGCAAGGAGAAATCCTAGTGGCTGAGCATAGTTGTCTCAGAGTGTGTACAGGCCCCAGGACACCTGAGTGTTCATTCTAGCCCTATCCTTGGCC